TGTTTGTTTCTTTGTTTTGTTTCACTATATCCCCTTTTATTCAGCTAAGAGTACTTGTTTGCAGTATAGAGTACTTACATAATGCAGTAAAAAGCATTTTATAGCAGATTTGTTAATAATTCTGCTCTTGCCCCATTGCACATGAAATAAAGTTTCAAAGTATTTAACTTCAAGTTACGCTTTTACCCCATTTTCGGGGAAAGTGCAGAGTAGTTGACATTTTAAACAATTTCCTATCAAAATCAAAATGTACAAGGAAAATTAAGGTCCTAGTTAATATTAATTAAGTTGTAGTAATTGTGCAAAGCGTTCGATATCGACAGCGTTGAGCATTTGCATAACAGACTGAAAATACTTACGTTTGAATAACAACTCTACAAAAACCAGTCTGCACTTACCCCACTTCACCTTATTAAACTTGTTACATGTACCGAGCCGATTACCTGTAAATTATTATTGGCGACCGGCGACTCACAGCGCTTGTTCTTCGAACAAAACGACCGACAATCGAAGAAGTCGCAGTCCTCGTGTTTCTCGCAGCTCTTCCTGTCTGCCGTAATACGGTTGATAATAGTTCTAGGAAACACGGCATCCAGGTCGAGGAATTTCAGTTTCTGTCCGCCAAGGGGCAGGCCAAAATGGTTTATCTTCACGTCGCATAAATGAATCGGCTCAGGAAAGTTAGTATCGAGTTCCTCGAGCAAATCAAGGATCATGACGGCGAGCTTTAACCGTTTTGCCCATTCCGGTTTCGAATCGGACAATGCTAGTACCGTTGTGGGTGTTTCTATAGGCCTGACATATTCGACTGCGTAAAACGTTCCGCATGTGCCAATCAGTTGAGGAAAAATGTCCCTGTCTTCGTAGAGGATGCTCATCAGATACTCGTTTTCCTGCAACAGCGGCCATAAGTTTTCCATCTCGAGCTGTCGCCTTGTGGTCTCAGTCTCGACGCGATGCGTGCGAAGTCGCATTAGCCTCTCCAACTGATGTTGCGACAATGTCACGTTCAACTTGCTAACAACTAGATCTTTGATCATAGTACTGAAGTCCGTTTCAGACGGGAAGTGCTTCATGCCGGACACGTCCGTCCAGAACAGCGACTCGAACTGGTCTGATGGGGCCTTCGTTCTGAAATCAAATATGTTGTGAGAATATCATTCGAAATTCTTCTAGTTTAATTGATAATAACAAATAATTCTTAGACTAGTTTAATTGATAGTAACAAATAATTCTTATAGTGCTTTTGATTTGGGAACAGTGGAATGCTTACGTTACAGTAGCTACATTTTGGTACCTTGAGTATCACCCATAATCATAGAAAAAATTAGTAATGCTTTCAATAAATCTAGTAAGTAATTCTTATGATGTTTTATTTGTTGAGCAAGCTTTCATATATTCAATAACACTATTTACAATTTATAGTGTATAATTGTATTGCTGTAAAACTGATTTTCGTTTGTTAATCTTTATATCTTTAATATCTAAATGTATATTGCAAGATAACAACCTAATGCTTATATTTATTGTATTGAATATTTAGAAGAAACGTTGCGATATGGCAGCACTAAAGCAGAGAATGTTAAGTGCAATATTTTCAATTATTTAGCATAACTGCGTAGACAGTACAAGTAGATGTCTGTGTTACTCGTGTGCTTTGGATATTTTACATCAATATCAATGCCAGTGGTCTACACATTCAGAGATTCTACGAACTCAGTTTAAAATGAACGAAGTAGTAGTTTTTGACTATTTATACATGTACACATAAAGTGAAAGGAGTGTATGGCATTCATCAAATTTTTCAACTTAATAAAATAAGGATGCAAACTTTACATAGCAATCAGCAAGATTTCCATAGTTCAAGCAGTATCCCTTTTTGGATAATTTGTAAAAACAAATTTTGTTTATTGTCGCAAACAAAGATGTAAAAGTGAAAAAAAAAAATATGTAAAGATATACCTTTAAAGATGTACTCATGTAAGATGTACCTTATATGATTTAACTTCAAGATAAAGTACATATTCGTTTCAAAAATTAATTTGAAAAATATTTGATTTCGAGAAAGGTATGTGCAAAATATCTACATTTACTTTTAATATAATACTTTATTTACAACTTACAAAATCATTTACTTCACCCTTAAATGCTACTAACGTGTATTTCGAATTACTCAAAAATTCCTATTGTTCGTGCTTCTAATTGGAGCATGTATGTTTGTCACACCTGCACCATTTCAAGTTTGCTTTATACTGTTTTTAATTTCCAAAATTGTAGCATACTGTTTTGCATTCGAGTACACGCTACAGGCCAGAATTTCCTAAAGGTTTTTAAAAGGTCAAGAGATTGGGCAGGCCGCTGTATTAACTGAATATGTTTCGTTTGGAACCATACTTTTGTATATCGTGAACAATGGACTGTCTTCTTGAAATATCTACTCTTAAAAATCTGTTTCTTCCCAGAATGTTTCTCCAATATTTCTGTGTACTTTCCAGAATTAATTTTCTTTCATTTGCGACATATTGCTGTTTGCCAGCTAAATGCAGCTTAAATCTTTCCACTGTACAAACTTTGAATTATAACGACATTTTAATTTTTGATCAAATCGGTGAAACTGAATGGTTTATCTGGATTAAACCTTCTTTCGTTTGAAAAAATTTTGTTTCATTTGAAAGAATTACGTGTTTCCATTCTTGTCACCATATTCGACGCTATGTGAACGTAAGTCTTACTTCTTTACGGCGAAGCGACAAAGATAACTTCAACAGTGTTGTCTATGTACAAACTTTACTACTTCGTAAATGTTGCAGTTTGTATGCTTTTTTCTAAGGGAAAGATTAAAATTTACTCGTATTTGACTCGCTGTCACTTTTCACATTGCAGCTCAAAAAATTAACAATGTATCTCTTTGCATCAATTTCTTATTTTCGCTCTTTTTTTCATATGAATCATCTAACAGAATAATATTATTAAATAAGTGGTGTGATTTTTGTAATTTTTGAATTATTTGTCTGGTGGAGGTCTTGGTCCTTTCTTTTCATTTTTCTTTGTTATACAAAAATTTACTTTTTAACATATTGAAAATAAACTAAATTAACCAGAAATAGACTCTAATACATAACAACAAATAAAAATCACTATTTTGTTCATATCTCAGATAATACATGCTTATGTAGGTGGATGAGAGAAAGAAAAGTGTTGAAACTTGAGTTATTTCGTTTAAATTTGCAATGCAACGTGAAATATTAAAATCATAATGGAAATAGAGTATAAAATTCAGAGATACCAATAAAAAAATATGTAATCGAAATAGAAACTGAACATTCCAGTATTTTATTCGGAAAATTAAAAACTTAATTAATTAAAACTTAATAAACTTGATTAAGTTTATAAGTGAACTATTCAAATTTTGCTGACTGCATAAGTTTATAAATACTGATACGTTTGTACACATTAAAAATTTGTCAATAAATTCCCAACTTTTAATATTGTGGCCAATTTTGGTGACCAAACACTCTGAGTATGATTTTTAGCGACTTTGGCGAAAAATGAATAAATCCCAGTGATCTTTGTTTATCTCATGTTGTTTTTATTAGGAGAGAAAAGGATACTAGAAAAAAAATGCGATTTCATTTTATTTAAATTTTGAAGCCAAGAAGCCGTATTTTGTTATAATTTTTTTCTAAAATATTCTTTCTACAATTCTTTAACGCGGTAAAGAGCTCGATTTACAATTTTACCTTTAAAACTTCACGAGAAGAAACACTCAAATTTCTATAAAAGAAATTTTTGCACGTCCCATTTTTCCAGAAAAACGCTCTTTACATTGAAAAAATATATAAAGAATATTTTGGAATAGAAATCATGACAGAATATTGCTTTTCGCTTTCAAAATCCTGGCAAAACGGACTTTTTCACACTTTTGGAAATCAAATATCTACTCTCCTTGTCTCTGCTACACCTTTACGGTGTATTAGTTGTTTGTATTAATAAAAAATGATAATACTTGAAGTATTTTGTCAGAATTGATCTTTAATAGTAAATTAAAAATGATGTACTTTGACAACAATTTTTTTAACGTAAATTATCATATTTCTCAGTGTTCCTTATAATTTTTGAACTTGACTGTCGTGATATAACAACCGAAAGGGTCAAGTGGATTTTTTAAACGTAAATTACTTCCTTTGTCATATTTACCAGTGTCATTTCTTTAACTTTTGAACTTGACTGTCGTGATATAACAACCTAAAAGGTCAAGTGAAGTAGATTAGTGACCTCGTGCGGCGAAACTGAGAAAGCCTGGTCAAGAGTCGGCGATCCTTGTCTCTCATTTACAGTAGCAGCGTAAAAAAGAAAAGGATAGCCCATCATTGTCTGGAGTTACTTAGTTCGCCGCATGAGGGACCCAAAGTCAATTCGCAGTTGGTTCTTCATTTCACTCGACCCTTTATTTGCTGACCACATTCGTTTGTTAGGGCTGTAAAACAAATTCGAATATTCGGTTATTCGAATATCAACGAAATTCGACTTTGAAGTTTGATTATTTTGAGTAAGGTGAAGTGGGGTAAGTTCGTAAACGGGCAAGTGCGTATACAGGCTATTTTTATTACATGAGCGAAATTTCTCCATTTAGTATGTTTGTTTCCTCGTTTTGTTTCACTATATCCCCTTTTATATTTCAGCTGAGAGTACTTGTTTGCAGTATTGAGTACTTGCATAATGCAGTAAAAGGCATTTTATAACAGATTTGTTAATAATTCTGCTCTTGCCCTATTGCACATGAAATAAAGTTTCAAAATATTTAACTTCAAGTTACGCTTTTACCCCATTTTCGGGGAAAGTGCAGAGTAGTTGACATTTTAAACAATTTCCTATCAAAATCAAAATGTACAAGGAAAATTAAGGTCCTAGTTAATATTAATTAAATAGTAGTAATTGTGCAAAGCGTTCGATATTGACAGCGTTGAGCATTTGCATAACAGACTGAAAATACTTACGTTTAAATACCAACTTTAAAAAAACCAGTCTGCACTTACCCCACTTCACCTTAT